AGTCCAAGAGAAAAAACGAACTTCTTTTGTCTACACAAAGGCTGCTTTTTTGTTTGTATGTAGATCGATTCCAAAACTGCTAGATAGAAGGACGACTGAGCTCTGCCAATTATCCGAAACATGTCGTCATTATAGAGTTTTGGGTTAAACAATAGATTTTCCAGTTGCGTGTCAGTTATGTAATTTTTAATTTTGTTAGTGCTCCCTTGTTTATCTGTTGTTGTTGTTTGTCTGTACATTGTTTGTTTGTTTATCTGTTAGTACATTGTTTATCCGTTGCCATGCCATTTCCCATTAGTTGCCATCCAGTGGCGTAGCATCAATGATATGGAAGCGCCGAAGGCGCTAGATTTACATAAATTGCTTTTGTCAGCCTTGCAATTTCCCGTACTGAGCCCTTATGCGAAATTGTCTCTTTGCCAGTATTTCCGCTTGAGTGATGTTGCCTCAGCTGAAAACAGCAAGTTAGATATAATTATGGTAACATATAATCAAGATAAAATAAGGTAATCTTGATATAATATTCTGATTTTATCTTGATAATATACGGTTATTTTGAATGAATGAAATCATAATTTCAGTTTCTTGATAATACAAGCGGTGATTAATGATAATCATATATTAAATTTTAATTTTTAAAATAACATTCAGAGCACAGATCAGAGACTCCGTCTCCAATACAGGTTAGAAAGTGGAGAGGGCCAAGGGAAAGATTATCACCCATGCAAAAAGTTTTCGAAAAAAGCTCAATTGTTTTGCAAAATTGTTCAGAATAACTATTTGTGCTAAAACCTTTTAGCAAAAGATCGTATTCATATTCGTCAAGAAAAGGCATATGCCCTCCTAATGTAAAATTGTTTGATACTATATTGCATCTGGGGATTCCCGCAAGGAGGAGCTCTCCACATTGCAAAATGACTATGGTTTAACACACGGCAGAGCCTAAGCGAACAGGAGCAAACTGTTTCTGCTCATTTTCTATCCTCGCAGTTAACAAAGATGACAATAATGAGCTGCGAGAGTTATTAGAATTAAAGATGCTTTCATGTGTAATTGTTTCAGAAAGCTGTTCCCTGCAAATCATCGACTACATTGCAAGGCATGCGCTCAGGTCTACCGCATGCCCTGGTCCGTATATTAATTAGATTTGAAATGATGTATCACGCAAAGAATATTCGTAAAAAGCAGCTTATATGCAGAAGAATGTTGTGGATTATCAAATATTTGGGAATTCTTGCGTTCAGGCCGACCGCAAGCACCAGTCCGGAAAATTCTAACTTCTCTCAGAAGCTTCTCTCGAGCTGCACTGCACTGCACTCCAGCATCACATGTTTCTCTTATTGTAGAAAGGCAACAAGAGTGATGTTGGGGGCTTCAGTTTTTCAGATTTTTAGCGATCTGTTTACATGGAGAAATAGCCAATTGCCATGTTTGCACTGGAGTAAACTGCATGCTGCTCATGACCAGAAAGAGAAGCTGTTTATTGGGAAAATGTTATGCATTAACTTCAACACTACAACGTATTTATTACCGTTAGAATTGTTGCAGGAGTTTTAGAATCGGTCTACAACTTTTTACGCTTGCGCCGCAAGCGTAGCATACATAGGCGCTACACCACTGCTGCCATCACTTGTTGGCAGTGTCCTATTGTCTCTTGGTCATGTGTTTTTCATACATGCTGCCATGCAGTCTGCGTTTACACGATACCGGATTACTCACGTATCGGATTACAGTAAATTCCCGCATATAAGAACCTACTTTTTTGAAGTTCAGGCTGAAGTAGGTTCTTATTGGAAAGGTACTTGGATTAATTTCAGGGTATGAAGGTTCTTATTCGAAGGATCCTTATTTAAAATTTTAGCATTCATTATCAAGAGATGCATTCAACCCTGTTTTTTCCTTTTGGCAATGTTATTAATGCAACATTACAAAGATATTTACAGGAAGAAATTTGAGCGCACTGGCTGCCTTATGACAGTGGATGGATCTGGAGATGATCTCATACGTCCTCAGGAATTGAAAATTATGAATTCTAATGCTTTTATTTCATTTTTCAGCATTTTGGATTTTGCTACATATAATTATGTTAAAAAGTCAAAGTGCGTTCTCTTTCGTTAAAGTGTATAAAACGCTGAAAATGGACAACTGAAAATTTGTATACCGATTGTGATTCTACCTCATCTTTAAACATCTGGGAGTAAATAAGGACCATTGAAAACTCTATTTTTTGCCCTTGGGATAAGAACCTATTATATTTTATCACACTTAAACAGGTTCTTAATTACAAGGTGCATAATTTAGGAAAAACAACCTCTAGGTTCTTATTTTTGTAGTTCTTATATGCGGGGATTTACTGTACTTTTCATATCAGATAGGGGTCCCGTTTACACGGCCCCGCATCAATCCGATACGTTACCACTTTTGCGGAGTGACATCACTCCGCTGTGAAAGTGGTATGAAAAGTGATCCGATACGTCCTGTACCACATTCCATCTCGTGTAAACGGGTGAATCCGAAACGCTTCCACTCCGGAACCTCGTTCTGAATCTCAAAGAAAGTCCTCATCAACGGATTCTACATCTTTACCCTTCGGGTAAGATTCGCCAAATACTATTTTATCTTGTCATCATTCGAAATTACATGTTTTCAATTCCTTCTCTTGAAAAGGCATTCACTTACACCTTGAAAAGAATGCTGCAAAGTGAATAGCGGAGCGTTGTCGTGTAAACAGGATGAAAACGGCATGAATATCAATCCGGTATCGTGTAAACACAGTGTTGTTTTACATTTGCACAATCAAACATGTCGACATTATAGTGTTATGAAATGTTTGCTTTTTTCAAAGCCATATTTGAGAGGCATATCCATCCCAAATGGCTTGTAGAGTTTCACGATTACCTCTGAAACAAAACAAATGAAAGGGGCAGTAAAAGGCTTTGATTTTGCTTGCCAGGCATACCTTATAGCTTAAGCTTATTCATATGAAAAAGGATTCGGAGATCAATCCATAGAATTTGTTTAATTTTGGCCCCGGTTGCTTTGTAATTCTTTTCGAACTTAATTGTAGATCCCAATGGTGAATATTCCCTAAATATACTCAAAGGTACATACTTACATTAGGTACTTTAATGTTTTTTGCACGAAGATAAACACCGAACAGAACTTGTGGCGTAACGAAGGCCGCAGAGATCCCTAAAGATTTTAGTCCGTTACACCACTGCATTGAATAGCCAATCAACACCAACTTGTAATTGTTGCAAGTATCAAATATTGGAAATATTTGGTGTGTATAGTCTTCACGAATAAATAATATCGGTTGTTGCATTGATTGCTTTAAAAACAGTGCATTCGGAAGCGATGGGGAGGGGAGGGGGCTAGGGGCTGGAGGCCCTAAAAAGAAATGTCAAGCACAAAATTTCAGCTTTTTTTTCAAAATCGAAAAACAAAAGAATTTTCATAATTATTTGCTTTGGAGTACCAAAGTATCTTCATTCTTTCTAGTTGTCAGGAACTTTCTGAATTGTCAGGGAAAAGGGCATAAGCAGACATTCTTATACTCTGGCCCGGGCAACACAATTTCATCCTGCCCGCCGAATGCTTTTTATCTCGAAAACTTTTTGCCAACATATTTAAAATTTGGAATTCGATTTATATTTGCTTTTAAGTTTCAAATGCGTTCCGGGAACAGTTATTTGTCTACACGAGAGTACCGAAATAGGAAATGCCTCATTTAATCGAGTGATCGATTTATAGGATTCAATTAATTTATTTTAATTAATTTCTTTTCTCCATTTTACACGTTGTTATGCTAAGATAAAACCTTGCAAAACTTTTCCTTTTTCTTGTCAACAAGTAAAACTATGGAACCTAGTTATGAAAACCTTAAGAATATTGCCTTTAATTTTTTGCCGTTAAAATCTATTTGAGGTGTTGTTTCTGGCAATTCTTGCATTAATATAATCTAAAAATGTTTTTGCCTCCAACCATGGTGGTGGCCTACAATCAAAAACATACGATTTTGGCCTTTCTTCAAAATACGCTGTGCAGTCCCTCGATCTGACTTCAGGCGCTTCAAATCGACCCAACAAGAGACTAACTAAGATTAACGTTCTCGCCTAAAAATAGCATAGAACGATCTTCTAACTCAGCCTGGTACAAGAAACAAAAAGTTTCAAACCTTTGTGAAAAACGTTTTTTTGGGTTTTATGCGAAGGTAGGTAACATAATGTGTGAGAAGGAAGAACCGCAGGATAGGCTGTACGCCGGATTCTGTGAATCTTGCAATGAGTATTGTTATGAAAGGTATACATAGGTAACATAGGCAGGCACAAAATAAAAGGCCTGTCTACCTTATCACTAAGTTGATTAAAATGGTGAAAGCGTGGTAAAAATGAGATTAATTTCATTTTGAGCAGCCTTATAACACAAGGTATGTAAAAGTTGAATACCAGGTGGCCCCCAAAGAAAATCTATGTGTTTTTCTGGCCCAGCACTGGCGTAAAGAATTGGTTTTAAACCCCTGGTGCGTTTTGTAAACTCCACTAGCCTGTGACGCAGGTACAACTCCACTTCTTCCTTCTTCCCCCTCTATTCAATATGTCGCAGTAATCTGTTTTGATACGCGAGCAATCTTGAATTGCGTAAACAAAGCCAGACTGAAATCTAAAACAACATTCTCAGTGCGTCGTATTTTACCGTTGTTGTTTTTTATTTTAGATACCAAATTGTAAACAAGCATATGCTAACCATTACTATTTCCGTCCGCTAAACAAGAAAGTTTTATTATTATTGTAGAAAGACCTGAATAAAATATTTTCACGAATAGAAACTATTGGTTATGAATGCAAGACGGGGAGACCACCTCCAGATATCAACATGACATGTCTGCTTACGAGATGAATCAATAAAGCTTTCTGAAAAGGGATCACTTCCCCTCCCTTACGTAAAGCGACATCCACAATAGTTTTCACGCGCATGCTCGTTTGATGCGAGGGCAGTTGACGTACCCAGGTATAAAGAGTCTCACCAAATCGTCTGACCATGACAATACGTTTCTGACCAATTATCGCTGGGTGTTCTGTAACAAGCGTATTATCTTTTACTTCCACGAGAAAAACAGGCCAATTAATTACGTAGGATGACATTATTACGCTGACCTAGCTCTTGAGTATAAATAGCTGCAGCTCTATCATTTGCATTTTAAACCAGACGAGACCCGGAGTTACATGGATTGGCATGGAATTCGAAAGTTGATGCAAATATAAGGTGGCAATCATACGAATTAATGTAAGGTTATAACTGTTATCTTATTTCATTTAATTTTTCATATTTTAGACATTGGTTGTCATGTTGTAGAGAGTCGCTTGGATACAGTTTCTGAATTGATAGTTATGCAAGAGACGTATTCGTATACACCAAATGCTGGATCAAGGGTTTAAATCTTTGCGATAGAATTTCAAAACATTGTTAGAGGAGTACATTTTTACGATCAAAATACCGCTTACACCATTATAGTTCTTTTTTAAGTGTATCACGAGATAGCGTAGACTTTCTAAGCATACTTTAAATCAAAGTATTTGCTTTTGATGTGGAAACATTTCATAATTATTAATTTCCTTTTATAATTACCAAAATTACCAAACATTCTTCTGTAACCAAGCTTTTACTGACAGTTTTTCAGATTGTTAGAAATTCAAATGGTCCCATTTTACTCGTTCGAATGTACACATTGTCTGCAAAAAGTACGGTTGTTTTAGAATTAGACGTTTCTTTTAACATCAGTGAATGTAACATTGTCTGCGGAAAACGATGAGCTACGTTCGAGTTACCTTTTTCCGTTTGCTGGACAAGCAACTGAAATAGAACCAGTAAATTAGAGTTTTAAGGAGAGCACTATCTTATGTCTGCTTCGCTAGTTTTTTGTTTGTTTTTACCTGGCATCCTTAGATCATTTTCAAAATGATAAGCTTAGGGAACAGTGTCCTGGTCCTTCTTTTCGATTTGTCCACACCTCGTGATTCCTGTGCCCCGAAGTGCCGAAAGCTGATTACTCCCCTCAATTTTTGTGAAAGTTTGGTCATGTCAGAGATTCAAACCCCAGACTCTTCGATCTGTATTTTGACATCCTAGCCACCGAGCCATCCAAGCATCATCTTGAAAATGTTTTTTCTTTAAACCAAAAAGCGCGTGCAGTTTGAGCTATAAAACCTGTTATACATTTTTTTTTCCTCCAACTAACTTTAAATGTATTACTTCAAGTTTATCTTCAAACCGTAATTACTGCTCTTTGATGAAATCAAATGCCAGGTTGCTGCGTCAAATGTAACAAAGATGCAATTAAAACATGATTATAACGATATTGTACAAGAAATGAATATTTGATGCAACGTCTCGAGCATAACTCTTCGCTCCTTTTTACAAGAACCAGTATATTTGAGTTCAGGTTGTTTGTTTTTAATTATTTCGAAAATCTCAGGCTGGATTCTTCTCAATTTGTTCTTAAACTTATAGGGTATAAACAGTGCCATTGCTCGCTTTTCGTTCCAGGGAGGTGTTCACGCCTCATTTGCCATCAAAGTAAGTGAGACAATCTTTATTTGCCGCCATGTTTGAATATTCACCGAAAAAGCACCCACACATGGCTAAAAATTCTCGTTTTTTTAGATAAAATGCTGTTCCAAATTGCATTTTACAGTAGCTCAGCCTTAGCTTGTTTTTATTTTGTTCTTAACTTTTTGACCAATTCTGAGGCTCGTGTTCTTTTAAGAAAAGAGCGTAATAGAGGACGTTTGCATCGCTATTAGACGCTTTAGATGTGTTATCTTTAGATAATGCTGTGCTACCAGAAGGTTCGCTGTGTTGCATAAACAGGAACAATGCTGTCACTATCATGAATCAGCACTTTGCTGAAGGGATAAAATAATGAAAAGAAAAGTTGACAATCATGGATTTATTACAGAATAATATGCGCAACCAAAATACTTTTGAGTGCAGAAGGAGATTACAGAGTTGAAAAAATTTGGAACCAATTTAGAAGATGACATCACTGAATATATTTTAAGCACAAAATTAAGAAATTTTAGGTTGTATGCTACTTTGTTTCTAGCATTAAAAAGCTTTATGCCCCAGTAATTTCCATTGTAAAATGAAAGTTGAAGGCCAGTAAATAGTTCGGTCGTAAATCAATCGAAATTCAGCATTTCAGATAACCACATTGAATATCAATCCGGATTTAACCATTTATGCTAGACCAAACTAAAATAAGTGTATTAGAACTTAAAAAAGACCTCGAAGAACTACCTAATACGGAATTGAAGATGAACCGCAAATCTCTTATAAACTAGGTGCTTTTTATGACCTCGCCACTTCCATCACGCGGGCTAGCTTACTATTATGAATGCAATAAATGTTTTGGATATCGAGTCTTTGTTGAACCATCACTGTAAGCTAAACAGTGTGCAATGAAAACTGTTTACTTACGAAAGACAGCAATGTATGCTGTGCCTGAAGGCCTTCTTTAAAATAAACTTATTCGAGGTTTGCCTGATTGGAATGTTTAGACTTTGCCTCCCAATTTAACCCTCACTGTTTCCAGCTAATTCTGTAATTATTTTCAAAGTTATGTGATCTTTCTTCAGCTTCTCTTTATAATTGTAGAATTTCCACTGGTGCCTATCCAAATTTGATGGCTCTTAATATGGCTATTTAGTAACGTTTTGAAACTAAGTAATGAAAGAATTTCAAACCCTTCAACGCTTATTTCAAACACTCCGCTTTTCGAAAAGCAAAAAATTATCTCCCCCTTAAGCTTATGTCAATCCTGTGCCATTTCGTTACCCAATAAATACTTGCCTTATTTCGCAAAAGAAATTATCAAAAATCTGTTGTAAGCTAATTAGGGGTTTTGCGAAAGGGGGAGTGTGGGTGTGCCACACCCTCCCAATAATACCTCATCAGGAAATTTCAGGTAAAATCCGCTCAGTGAAAGAAACGGTTTAGGTAGTTGAGAGATCTTTACGTCTTATAATCAATGAAAGATCAATAAAACCATCAACGGTAGTTACTCCGTTGGTTAAATCTGATATTTTTTTATATGAATGAAGGTAAACAAACTAAGCGTAAATGCCTTCAAGATTCTTGTTGGCACTAAATCCAAAAAAACCTTGCCCTATTCATGTACAAGTGTGATTTGTGACCATTTTCTCTAAAGTATTTGGGTATGAGCGTCAACTGCCATTCAGAATGAGCTTGCTCTAGAAGTAACGCAACAACATGGGTACTTTCAACAACACGGCAAAATTATACCAGTCTTTTTCATCTGCAGTTTAATCCGTTTGCAAAAATGAATATATTTTCATTAGGAAAAGAAGGATTGCTTTAATTGAATTCGCTTGAAAGAGTGCGTTTTCCAGGAGATTGCAAGTATCAAAATTCGAAAGTTTTATGTTCCTTCGGCGGCAACCATAATGCCGCCTCGGATAGCAACTATGTCCTTTGCCCGTCCCAATATACAGACGTGACTAGAGTCTTAGGAAGAGTAAAGTCCGTTATTATCATATAAATTGGAGTTTCGATTTTTATGCCATAAGTTAGGTTGACAAATGAATTGCAAAAGTTTTCAGATAGTAACTGAAGAATTTCAGGTAATTATTTTCAAATCAGGGAAATCGTAGTTCACACAATCCCACCCCCTCAACAATGCTTGCCTCGTGACGGCCCCGAGTCTAAATACACTAGTTGTAAGGCCTGGCCAAAGAATAAGACATCCTTAAAACGTTACAGAACATTTTTGCTCCAACATTGTTGGACGATGTTTTATGACCTGGCCAAACGAATCAAAGAAATGTTAAAACATCTGTTATGGTCACGCACTGCCGCGCAATTTCATGCAGTTACTGTGTTTAATTTGCCGAATTTTATCATACTGCGCTTTGCAATATTAACAAATGTTGTCAAGGGGTGGTAAAACGAAAGCAACATTGTTGATCAAACATGGGAACAAATTTGATGGAAATCAAATTTGGTAAAACATCGTAAAACATCGTAAAACTTGATCGCCAAACGAATAAAACATGTTTTATGCAACAATGTTGTATGATGTTTTATGCCGATGTCTTTTTCGTTTGGCCAGGGCTTTAAAATAAAATACCATTACGGTTATTTCACAGCAAAGCGGTAAATATTTAGAGTAGATGACACACAAATAATGTCCAAAAAAATTAAGAAAAATTTATATTAGGGCTAACGAAGTCACTTGGGAGAAACAATGGCCTGTAAGCTTAAATCATCCCGTTTTCCTTCCCGTGAGCCTTCCCACTAATAAATATCATGCAAAAAGAGTTTTTGAAAAAAAGTTTGAAATAATAGTTGAAACAAAAAAATTGTTTTTTATCCTGCTGAAATTAAAGTTTTTAATTAAAAGGGATTAATCAATCCAAATAAAGCTCAAACTTTAAAAAAAATGCTTTTCTCGAATAAACCCTATTCAAAAAGTCGGAAAATTAATTAATTACCAAAATGTACAATCTAGAAACTACGAGACTCCTTGAAAAATAATGATTGAAATCAGGGGCTTCTTTGGGGGCTTATACCAGGAGGGAAAGGGGGCTTATACAATTATTGGAGACATTAAGAAGACATTATTATAATAGCCTTTACCGATTTACGCATGTTTTTTGCTGTCTATGCTCGTCGTTTTGCTGTCTTGCGGTGTTTCTTCTTCACTACTATTTAATCGTTCTTTCGCCGTAAGCATTCCATTGGAGTCCGTCGAGCAGCCTGCTGTAGTGGCCTTTCCTTTTATTCACACATTATTAAAATTCCGCGTTTATCTAAGTAAGATTTTCTTTATAGGTATTTAATCAATTACTACCAAAAGTATGAATTTGCTGTCGAAATTCAGTAAACGCCATAGGCAACCTCAGAAAGCAATTGAGTTGAAGATGAAATGGTCAAATACGGTACACTCTTTTTTATGAGAACACACTTTATAAGAACACTGAGGCTCGATTTGCCCAAAAGAAAAGAACAAGACTAGAACATGTTCAACTTCAGATTCGCATTTTTGAAGTTAAAAAACAATTCGCATTTTGAAGTTCGCAAACGCTCAACTAATGTACATTCTCTTGACAAAGAGAAACATTGATGGGATTGTCCATAAACACTAGCAGTCATTGGTTTATTTGTAAACTTTACCCAGTAGAACGTCTTAGAAACTATATACAGGACAGTATGTAACTTCCCAAATATGTGCAAAAATCACTCTTAAATGGAGAGGGTAGCAGAGCTCCTTTCTATTGTGTTGATATTTGAATCAATAATTTCAGAATTTTCAGTCTGGGGCTTTTTTTGCAAGGAAATGGAAAACAGAGATCAAAATACGTACAATTCGAAAATTTCACCTTAATCGAGCCAATAACAAAGGAATAAGAGATGTACGAAATTCAAATTTCAGACATAGCTGTGAGAAATTGATAACCAAGGAGACAATGCTAAATATTTCAAAGTCTGCATAATTTCATTGCTCAATGAACAAAAATGTAGTAGGGGGGGGGGGGCGGATTCCGGTTAATAGGGTCTCTTATTTAGGACTTACGATGGTGTCAGGCGATAAAAAAAGAAATTCGCTTCTAAGCAATATCGTGAAAAGAGAAATTGCTGAAACGTCTCCCTGCAACAGGTTTGGGGAGTTTGCCACCCTTACCTCAGAGGTCTGGCTATGTGCTTGGATAGCAAGCAACTGCGTCGCTTTATTTACAGTACTTTTCATGCCAATGAACAATCTTGAATATATATATCCATTTTGAATGGTAATATTTAGTTGCATATGATACATAATTCTATAAATGCTGAATTGAACAGTTTTTTATAATGAATGTGATTTGTTGATAGCTATGTGATTATTCTAAACTTCTAGTCAAGGCTAAATCTATTACAATTCATATTCACTCCATTCGACTGCTAGCACTAGAAGTTTACAAAATCTTGCACAACTTGAATCCAGCCTTTATGAAAGACTACTTTCTCCCAAAACCCAATAGCTATAATCTTCGAAAAATAGATACTCTGTCTGTTCCAAAGGTTAAAACGACAAGTTATGGTATAAAATCTATTAGCTTTTTGGGTCCAAAGATTTGGAATTCTCTTCCAAATGAAATAAAATCATCAAAAAATGCAATTCAATTCAAAGTTCTTATAAAAGATTGGTACTTCGAAAATCAATGCGCCTGTAGCGCTTGCAGTCAATGACTTCCATAATGCAATCTCTTAAATTGCTTCATGTTAGTGTTTATTAGTGTCCACACTATTGTCAAACTAACAGTAAAAAAGGTATCATTATTATTATTATTATTATCAATTTTCTAAACAGATGAAAAATTCTTGATTTGTTTTATTTCAGGTAAAACAGCCTTCATAGACTGTAGCAATGGGTGTCAAGAATGTGGACGAGTATGTGCTTAACCTGTTTTTCTTTTGATTTAATTGTCAAAAAATCAAAAGATTCGATAAAAAATCAATAGATTCACTGATTTCGTGATTTTCCTCGCCACGAATTCTAAAGAAAAATTAATAGTAGTTCAAACTTTTCTTACGTTAATCTGCTGTTTTCAAGTAATTTCATTAAGAAAAAAAATGCCATCAGGATGAAAAGAATTACCCAAATCTTCTATTATGTTATTTCGAGTATATAAAGAGGCAGATGTGTCATTTGATAGGCACCATTCCTAAATTTCATTCGAAAATTCCCAAACAAGTTTCAACTATCGTCAAATTTTTCAATAAACTTTTAAACTTTCTAAGTAAAAATACTAACTTGAATAAACGTTGACAGCCAATATTTCGTTTTTCTTCTTTAATTTGTTTTTTCTCTCACATCACAGCAATTTATTTGACGAGTCACCTCACAAAAAATACAAGGAGTCGACAATTATCGATGAAGGCAAAATAACTGACTTCAAAATCGAAGAAACCGAGGAAAAAAAGTCTCAAGAAGAAATAGCAAGAAAGATCTTTTACATCATACTCGAAGACTGGATGTACAGCTTTGGAACTAAATACGATGAAAATGACTACAGTTCACTGCTGGATATGCTCGTAAAGCTTGTTGCAGAACAATTGCCTTTGAAGTTCTTTATCCCGGCCTTTCCATGCAAAAGTTGCAACACAGAAACAAAGGTTCTGGGGAGACTTCCAGATTTTGCTGAAGTATTAGCCATCACTGCTTTAGTCAAAACTCTACGGAAACTGGAGACTGTCTACGCTAAAGGAGCAAAGTTGACCATTCTGTCTGACTATCACACTTTTGATCAATACATCGGCGTCAATGAAGAGACATATCGGGCTTACCACGAAGCGTTGAAACGGATGGTGAACGAGGCTGGGGCCTCTGACATCATAGAGCTGATATCTCTATCCAGTTTTCCTGAATTTCTTAATGTTCCTGGACCAGAGTTGTGCAAAAAATTGAGGGATGAATTTGGAGGAAGCCTTGTGCTGGAAAACTTTGAAAATGCACTGAAGCAGGACGAAGAGATGCTAGAGAAATACAAACAGCTAAAGAAATTCATGCAGTTTGATCAATCACATCGCTTGCCTGGATCACAGAGAGCCAACACGACAAGAAGTTTCATCAGAGGGATTGCAAGAGGTATGATAGCCCAAGGTATAGCACTGGACAACTTTCTGAAAAAACATATCACCGAGATGAAATGTATTCGCCTCAGTATTCACCAACACCACCCTGCAACAGGCAAGTTTGCTATTGACATGTACAAAGAACATAAATGCAGCGGAGAAATCCTTCGCACACCCTGGCACCATGTTGTTGTTTTTGACACTTTAACAGGCGAATATTTAATCGATCACAAGCAAACCATTGAAAAAAGAAAAGTGGACGGTTCAGTTCTTGTCACTGTCCTCTACCAGGGACAACCATGGTTGCTTTTGAGAATTTACCTTGACAAACAAGTAACAGCAACGTTAGGTGTATTGCCGTTACTTGAAGTCTCTTTAATCAGGGCACGCTGTGGCTTGGTCGTCCAGTGCCAGTCTGCTTCTCCAAATGGGATTCCAAGTTCAGTAATCAAAGAAGAAACTTTGAATTCACTTATCAAAGAGTTCGGTTTGGTGGTTTTGAGAGGATTTAAAAATATCGAGACAGAAGAAGAATTAATCGAATTCTACAAAAAGAGAGCAAAATTTGGCATTATCAAGTGGAAGTTTGGATTCATTCACAAGGTTACCCCGAACAAAGAAATACCAGGCTACGTTAACAGCAATGGCGGCCTTCCGATTCACTTTGATTTGAATGCACCTCCAAAATATATGCAAATATCACAAGAGGAGCATGCTTATGAGGAATTCGTTTGCAGGGAGTTTTTGCTCTATTGTAAAGAGATTGGCAATAAAGATCAAGGAGCTACTGTATTTGTTGATGCTCGAGGAGCTGTTTTGTCTCTTACTGGCCAAAAAATTACAGAATGGAAGAAGACTACAATAGCCTATGAAACAGATTTGAATCTGAAATCTGAAAAGAATCAAAAAGAGTTCGGTCATAAGAGAGGAATGGAATCATACTTTGGTGGCATTGGTAATGTCTATGTTTACCCACTTGTTCTAAAATGTCCATGGACTGGCAGCGATGTCTTACGGTGGTGGCAAACATGGACAATGGAGAGGCATCCCCAAAGTGAGCAGCACAATTGGTCACAGATAAGGTCGTCCCCATCGGAAATGGAACAAGATATCAAGGAACTTGAAAGGGAAATCGAAAAGGTTGCCTTCGACGAGAGATTTTTCTTTGAGCATGCGTATGAAGAAGGGGACCAGGCATACGTAAACAACTATACAATGCTTCATGGGAGAAAAGCGTTTGAAGAGTGCAGAGAGCTGTGGAGACTGCAGGCAGTTCCACAAAGTGACAATATGCCAAAATACTTCAAGGATAATGGATTCTAATTGCTTTGTTTTTTGCTGTGATTTAGCAAGCTCTGTTATAACAATTTTTATTTAAATTTTAACAGTTCAACCTAAAACTCCGAGCGAACACCGAGTAAACTCAAGATTTATAAACATTTGCTGATTAATAACAGCTTTATTTAGAACCACATCGTCATACCCAGTTGACATGCTTTATTAGACGTTGTGCCATTCGTGTGGTTTACGACGGTCAATTGATTAGGACGATGTATAGCGTGAAAGTATTTTAATAAGCCTTGATCGTTAAGCTTCCCAAATATGTACTTGGAAGCATCCTGAATGCAAAACCAAAATCAAGAATGAGAAACGTCTATTAAAAACAATTCAAAAACAGAAGAAATATCCAAAACACAACGTAACTGTAGAATGTAGCTTTGTGATAAAATAATCATTTACAATTTCTTCCCTAAGAAACGTTAAAAATTTCAGGCAAAATCTTGCAAATAAAAATGCAGATTTTCAGGCAGCAGCATAGTCTATGGCAACAGCAACATCAAAAGCAATATCCTTCCCGAAAGCACCCTAAAATATTTGTTTCTTTCATGAATTGAATGCTAATCAAGTTTTTGATCTATATTCTGACATCTTATTCTCTGTGTGTCAGACAAAAAGCCTTTTTTTCAAAAAGATGGTTGTTTTCAAAGTAATATTAAATTTTGTACTATCAAATGATTATTAGCAAAGAAGTAGTAAATTGTAATTAAGGGATTTAGCAGTAACGCTTTTTCCATTTTTGACACTGCTTTGCATTCCAGTGTTTCTTTTTTCAAGGCAGAATTCAAAACAAATTCTTTTTTGCTATCTTGAGCAATTACTGTCTACGTGGTATAAGCGAGTACTGTGAAAATGTTGTTTTGCTTTGACCTTGGCTTTGTAGCCAGTGGAGTTGCTGAATTGATAAAATATTAACTACAATATATGTAAATAGAGTAGCATAATAATTCTAACGGGAGTATTAGAGTTTATTTCTATATTTAGCAGCATTATTCGTCAAATATATATTTTCATTCAAATAACTATCGGTCCGATCAGAACTGTATCAGATGAAGATTTTATCAAAGCAATTTGATAAATCTTTTTAATCGGCAAGTATTCATTCTAAAAATGTCGTATAGCATACTTGTATTAACAGAGCTTGTAATTATATCTTCAGAAATCAATCTACTCTATATTCTCATATTCAATTCTATGAAACAGTATTTATCATTTTACATTTACACTGAATTTAAATGACTACGATATGCATGTTGATTTGGGTTTTAATATACAACTCTTGCTAATAGTCCTTGGTACAATCAGTTGCTGTTTTGCAGAAAAAATGTACCTTTTCCCCTTTCCTCAAAACAATATTGGTTGTAAAGTAAAATACCATAATTATTCAAAATGAATCCATTGAACTGCACTAAAATTTGCTTTTTAACTTTGCAGAAAATAAAATTGTTCAGAGAGCGTGTAGGAGATGCGGTATAAAATATCAAAAATTTTGTATAAAGTACCAATAACTGTGGTAGGCATTACATTTCCAAGAGGTCGCTGATTTTGCAAATGGCAACGAGAATCACATGGACCTTGAAGCGCAAAGAATTAACGATCATTTTGTATTATTGAAGAAAAGATGATTTCAATTGATATTGAAATTGATATTAATATACACATGGAGCGGGCAAACATTCAAATGAAAAAATTATGCATTCAGAGTTATACGCTAATGGAAGTTGAAAAGGGGATGGCTAGGGGTGGTAATGTCCTTCAAAGAGTCAATTGTTTTTCTTGAGTTTGCCACACCTTCCAAGAAAGTGGTCCATAGTTAGTTTATGCATGAAAATCTACGTCAGGAGTATTTTTTATGCAAACCGAAAAATAAAAATTTGTGTTATGTTCTCCAAAGTAAAACGTAACCTGTCTGCTAAAATTTTTCGCTTCATACAAACTTCTCAATTTTGAATTTTTTTTTCGAATCATTTTAAAGACCATAACTTTTAAAATACATATCAAACTAATATATCATGTGAAAGGAATTTGAAAATCCATTTTTCCTTCAATTTTTTCATTTCTGTCGAAACAGTTCCTCTTCCCAGCAAAATAACGTCGATTCAGCATCTAAAGCCGCTTTTCCCATCAGTCTTTGCTTCATTAATGACAGTTTTGTCTTCTGCAACTCCCTGTGATCAATGGCTAAAACCTTGCAGCAGAGGTGATCAGCCACTCAAACAACCTCTTTTGAATTTCTGCAGCTTTTTTCCAATTAATTAATTACCCGAAATCAGCATCTCCTTGCGCATCAACGATGAAATCCAAGTCGAAAGCTGAAAATGGTGGGGGCAACAGCGTGCTTCGATGCAATGATTTTTGAGGATTTAAAGTCAATCAAGATCCTTGCAAGCTAATAAATATACCTTCACAAGACTTGTAGCATTCTTAAAGTGAGACGATAGCAAAACAGAGGCTCATTGATTAAGTCTACTTAACAGCTGCGACTCAGTTGCATCAAGGATACCAGAGGGTGCAAAAGAACTGAAACTCTCAACCATATCGGATTGGTTTCATGGAGATTTTCCGAATTGCTCATGACGTCCTGTTGCAATTTTAATATAGAGCGGACAGTTACTCTCTGCAAATGTTTACAAAAAGAAAAGGGTATTTTTCTAATAAACTGTGTTTCATGAAATTACACTTTGGAGAGAAAGATCAATACAGTTTCGTTGGTAACCTGTAAGTCAGAGTTTTTTTAGGTTGGTAATGAGGCAAGGCATAATCAAGTGAAAACATAATCATTACAATTGCTTGAAAAATACAAAAGCCCTGATGTCCGATCAAATTAACCAAGCCATTGTTAAAACGACGTTCGAGCATAGCCCGTTATCAAGTAAAATCCTATTGACCGTTATCAATTTTACTTGCTCGAAATATTGTTATTCATCTAATCATTTTCTTATTCAAACAATCTTTTGGTGGTACAAAACTTGTAAATGGCTTTGAAAAAAGCAAACATTTAGTAAACTAAAGCTTTTCGTCTGACAATCTTCAGAGTTTAAAACGTCAGAACATAGATCGAAAACTCTACACTAAGAAATATAAATACCAAGTTGTGGATCGAAATGCCAATCAGAAACACGAGCACATGACTGTAAAGGTTGACCAATCAGTGCCGCTTGCCTATTAGAATGTTACCAGTGGAGTCCTAAGGTGAAAACGAGCTCCTTTTGTCTACACAGTAGCGGTTTTTTCGTGCTTATGTAGATAGATTCTAAAACTGCTAGGTGGAACGACGATCGGGCTTTACCAATAATTCGAAACATGTCGCCATTATAGCTTTTTGCACAATCTGGGTTTTCTAGCAAATGCTGCCCGATAGCAGAATCGCAGGTTTTAGTTGTGATTTTAGATTTGCAATTTCTTATTCCTGTTACAATTTACATTCATCGTTATTACTACCAACGTTGGCGACCAAAAAAGTAAAACATTCTGGGGACGGTGGAAAACTGCACCTGAAATATTTTCAACATTGACTTAGACTTGAGATAACTTTCCCTCTCAATATGCCGAAAAGAGCGTTAATGGATTTGAGGAACGACGTCACCATGGTTGGCAGCAAGAACGATTTTGCAGAATTGATCTACTAGGATGCCTGAAAACCCAACTAAAATTTGTACAATAAAAATTTAGCCCGAAAGAAGGTCCTGGTGGTTGGGTGCGGGAGTGCTGAGGTGAAAAAAAGGAGTTGAGGGAAATACGTCTTTGTGTTGAAGTATGCACCTTTTTGGAGAGCGGCCGTTTCGGGCTATCCTTTACGTGCACGTTCGTTTTCAACGGGCTTCCAGGACGGTGATCGCCTTCCGCAACCCCTGATGGAAGGTCACCTGCCCGCCCGAACGGCCACCACGACAAAAGCTTCGGAATAAAATAGAATCGGCATGTTCTGTCAACCAATCAAGATTTGATCTAATCTAAGACAAGGGCCTTTAAAGTGTCTATGCAGCGACATTTTACGTCCTGTTTTTTTTAAGAGTTTTATTTTCTATCTTTTCCGCTACGTTTGACACCTAAATTGTCATAATTTGATTAGCAAAAGTGTGTTTAATCAGAGTTTGAAATTATGTAGTGCTTGCAAAAATCAAGGCCAGTTTGTGACATCACAGTGATGAGTCAGGTCAACAGCAATAAGGAAACTGCGGTTGTACAGAATAGGTTTTAGTAAGGGGCAGGCACGCCGGAAGGAATAAAAGGCAAGGGGGGGGGCTGTGTGTTACAAGGGAGCATTTTTTCATCATCATCATCATCATCATCATCATCATCATCATCATCATCATCATCATCATCATCATCATCATCATCATCATCATCATATCATCATCATCATCATCATCATCATCATCATCATCATCATCATCATCATCATCATCATCATCATCATCATCATCATCATCATCATCATCATCATCATCATCATGAACAACAACAACTTTATGGGCGTAGTACAAACTTCAATGATACGTTAAAATAATAATAAGAATAATATTGTTGGCGCCAGACAAAGTAATGGAATTCTACCAAACAATTTTTAATTCAAGTCAATTAATTTAATCATTTTATAAATCCAAGATAATTTTCCTTCAACTGAACAGAAAAGACAAATCTGCAAAGTCTATAGCAGGGTTGATTTGCCAAAATAGTCCTTCCTCCGGTAGCTTCTCTGTACAAACCTCTTTGCTATCAAATTAATATCCAATTTGTCAAAATCTGTTTTTTGTATATGTGCAAACATAATGTCATTCAAATGGTTTGCTTTTGCTTTGGCCCTTAACCACGAGCCTAGAAACTGCGCTCGCAGGTAGATGAACTAAGTGGCACTGTTTTGTAAAGTTTAATCATCCTGTGTACTTCAGGGCATTGCAGTTTTGCCGAGGACATTGCGTTGAAAATAACTTCCACTGTTCCAATACATGTGAAATTTGTTATCTTCAATTCCCTCTCAGCATTGTAAAGCCCTAAAATGATTGGAAGATCATCCAGCTGTCTCTCTACCATTTCTTTGTCAAGAAAACCACATTTTTCTGAATGGTCAGATCGACTTCTTTATTTTTCATTGACTTTAGCAGTACCTCTTCTATTTG